TTTCTTTCTTACCAATTTTTTTCTTTTTTTTTCTTTTTCTTCTCGTACCAACAAAATTTATCCCTTTAACATAACACTGGCATTTCTTTACACATTCGTATTAGTATTCGCTTTTTCGATATAAAAAAAAAAAAAAAACTGGCACGTAAGAAGTTATACTTCTTTAGCTTACCACAAAACGAATAATATAACCTTAAAAATAAGTTCAATTTGCGCGCGCATCGTAAAATTATCGACAACTTCGTGAGGTGTCGATTTTTCGGTCGCATTTAACTTCACTTTCCAAAACGCGCGCCAAAAGAAGTATAACTTCAAAAATAAATGAGAAAGAAATTATTAATATAATATATATATATATAATAATTGTATTATAATTGATATTAATAATAATTGATTACAAAAGGGGAAGGGTCAAGTTGACAGGATCATATACTGTGCAAGCAGTAATTAATCCATTACTTAACCGTTTCGAAGAAAACGAAGGGAAAAAGTTTCTACATTCATTCTTATATATTAATTCGTATCTAATGAAAAAATTCATTTTTTAATTTGAAATTTTATTTTTTAAAACTTTTATGTGTTGTCCGCGCCGTATTAAACTCAATACTTTTCATCCCATCGTTATTTATTAAGCTGTGAACATTACATCATACCCATGTATTATAGATTTTTATTTTTTTCCATTTAACTCTGCTTTCCATGCAATATACTGCTTGCACAGTGTGTGATCCTGATAGACCCTTACAACTGTGTAGAATTTGAAACAAATCGATATCTCGGTTCTTTCCTTGTTAGTACGATACCAATTACTATACCTATCTATACAATTTTCTTAGATTATTCTCCCCTAAAACATTTTAATTATTATAATTTAAATAAATTTTGTGTATATGTGTGTCATTTTTAATTTCAGAATAGAAAAGAAAACAATAAATAATAAATGATGAATAATATTACGGTTAATTAAAAATAATCACATTTATATAATATAAATGATTGGAATTATTTTTCAGTAAAATAAAATGTAGGATAATATTGACATGACATGGGTTCTTGAAATAGTCGTAAAAAAAGTTCAAAGGATTTTAAATATAATCTGAATGCTGTTTGGTAAAACATATTGCAACCTATTAAACGTATTATTTGCGAAATGGGACTTTCGTTCGAGTATTGCTAACGAAGAGGCATTAACGATCACTTACGCGTAATTTTCAAGCTCTCTAATTATGAAGACTGCCATCCAATGTGAAATACATTTACGACCAGTTCTATCTTCTCTTACATTTGCTTGACGTCTTCCTTTCTTTAAGGTGCTGACCGATTAAGCAACGTGATTAAATTACGAATGTGTCTTTATCCTTCTCTATCTCACCATCTCAACAAATTGGCATACATAAATCCTTTTATATTACCCGATCGAAGTACGATACAATATGTTTTCTTTTGTTTCTTAAATTATATTACGAAAACACCAGATTTTTTTCAAATGAGTTCACTGAAATTATTACTATAAAAAAAGAAAATATTGCAAAGATAACTAAAAGTTATATACAATATAATAAAATTAATTATTACGATGGAAAGAAAATAAGCACTAAAAATACATTAATAAATATTCGATCTATCTTTATCTATTTATCTTCGTTACTTGTTATTTCATCTCAAGGAAAAAACAAAGTAGCAATAGCAACAGCAATCGAATAAAGCAACATTGATGTTTCTAATCACTTGAGATTCGCTTTTTAATAGATCTGTATTTTGTATTTATCTGATTTTAACTATACCAATCGATTTAGTATTATCGCGATCCTTTTACACGGATGCTCAATGACAAAGTAACAAATTGAACAATATATCAAGTACACTGACAGTCGTGTCCTTCTTTTTAAATCATTAAAGTGGCTCTTTTTACGCACCTGTTTCTTGATCTTTTTCATGATCTATAAGGACGATCTATATTTGGCTGAAAGTTTATTGGATTAGATCGTACATCAGGGATCTTAATTACATTGACATTTATAACTCGTAACACGTTCTAACGAAAGGATTCAATATCAAATTTTTATTGTTAAAGTTGTAATATGGAGTTTCAATTATTTTAATCAAAGAATATATGTATCCAACAATAAGTGTAAGTAACGCAACATGATTGATTGAAAATTAATTATCTTCTGTTCTTCATTTTAAAATGGTTACAGTTAATGTTAATACATTATTGATTAAAATTAATTATTATTACATTAATATATCGATGGGGGTGAGGCTAGCAACCTATCCTCGTTATAAAAACAATAAAGCGCTCCTGGAAATAGCAATAAGAAAACTATTATAACAGGACGAAGTCCTAAAAAAAAAAAGAAGAAGAAGAAGAAGAAAACATCAATATATATATTTATATTGAATTAATGTTACGTTAATTAATATTGCAAATAAATATCTCTATTTAGAGAAATACGAATATAAATGTATTATTTAAATAAGAAAATATTGAAAATAATCGATGAATGAAACCTATTTCATTCGTCTAAAGAAAAATAGGGGAAAAAAAAGAAATGGAGTAAAGAAAAATATTTGTTATTTCATAGCGCGCGCAGACAGTTGTGGATAAAAAATAAAAAAATAAAAGAAACTTTACTCGCGAAGGTTTCCCCCCTTCCCAGTAGCCACGAAAATGCATCACGAATCCAACATTCTGCCTCGAGTTCTCTTTTCCGATATATCGACTATCCTTTTCGTTATTCCACGCGTACAACAAGCACCAACCAAGTTCTTTCTCTTTTTTTCCTCTCTCTCACTCTCGTATTTTTCTCGAAATCGTAAATTGTATGTACGTATATATATATAAACGTATACAGATGCACACGCGTATAAATTTACTCGTATTGGTACCAACCTAAGCATTCTCATCGAAGCGCATCGCTTTGAAACGAGTGAGCATTGAGCAATAAGTGCGAAAATGGTCACCGAGATAAATCGAGATTCGCAAGGATGCTACCTGCTTCTGCTTCTGCTACTGATTCTACTTCTGTTTCTGCTTCTGCTCCGTTTAACACATTTCACACCGATTGAAATCGAAGACAATTTCTGCATTTACGGAATTAACGTGACACTTTGTGAATACTCTGACCGCATTCTAATAGTTAACTCTTTAAACGAAACTTTATATCTAATTCTACTATTAACTTCGTTACAAAAATAGAACACTTTAAATATTTCTTTCTTAATTAATACCCTTAATAGAGGTCATTATAATTTTCTGATCATTCTAATCGATATTTACCTTGAAACTAAATTCATATACGTTGCGAATAAAGAAACATCATCGATTGTTTGATATTAACAAATTTAGAAATTATCTTTACGGTATCGTCGATTATATATTTTGTAATTTTTTTTATTCATATCGCAAGTCGATAAAAATCATAATTAATAAAAAAAAAAAAGAAATAAAATAGAATTGTTTGTTGTGAAAATTTTTTGATAATTTGTAATGACGTTATTCATGATTTCAATGATTTATTTTGTATTTATTTCCTTTTTAATAAATTATCATATTTTGTTTCGTATATAGGATTAACAATGAAACCTAGGTAGAAATATATTTTTAAGAGAGAACAAATACTGGAAGAAGAGAAAAAGAAATAAAGAAAAACGTTGGAATAATACCAGAGTTTATGTACTGGGGTCGTCTCCATGTGGTTCCCAAGAGAGACCGCGAAATTGTAGTAGCAATGTTATACCGGACGATGAAGGGTCACAAGAGAATTCTCGTTTGTAAAATTTACGTGACCACGTATGGACGTGTCATCATGGCATTCGTAGGTGCTTCTACAGTATCCCTGAATTTATGTAACTCCCTCTAATTTGCATTAGCGAATTTTTGTTACTACGTATATTTATAATAGAATGAAAATGAGAAACATCGAATGTAAAAAATGGACAAAAAATAGATGCAAATGGATTTGCAATCAAAAATGTAATCTTTCTAATAATTTGATTTTATTTTGTTTTTTTTTTTTGTTTTTACCGAGAATAGGTTGCTAGCTATTATAATATTATATTAATTCTTTCGTTCTTAATTAATATATATACTAGTAGTCCATTCAAAAGCTCAGTAAGTGAACTACTGATCTATATAGGAGTCGTTAAAATTTATATTCTATCATATATTATATTATTTTCTGTAAAAAAAACAATAATATTACAATTAAGGAAAAAGAAATAAATGATTCTTGCAAAGGCGTTTCCTTTATTTCACATATTAAACTATACATAATGGCATCCCACACGTAGGAGTCTCGAACCATCTTTATAAAATTACGCATATGGATTGTTTATAATATAAAAAGTATAAAATTATATATATATATACTATAATTATGTGTGTTAAATCTCATTCCTTGCAACAGATAAGGATGATACTGTTCAGAGAATAATATTCGAATCTTTGTTTAACTTGTGTGTCCTTCATATTATCAAAAACATGAGATAATTAGATATTCAAGATCCGAGTAATTAATTGCCTCTATTGATTTTGTTTCTAAATGATATGGGAATCGATTTAATAATATATCGATATTACATGTTAATATCGAAATAAATAAATATATATCGTGTGATAATACCTTGCGAGATACGTTCCAACGATCATTTCGTTACTGTTCTCTCTAATCGCGCTTAATTTTGTCTTATTCTAAGAGTTATTCTGCTACTAACTTTTCGTTACGAGTAAGTGAATTTAAAAATACCTATAATATAACACTATCATTGTTTTCTTTCTACAAAATATTTTTTAAATATAAAATATACGTCCATTTGAGTTGCTTTATAGAACAAAAGATTCACTTTTAATATAGGTTTTTTTGCATTATGAAACAAAACGAAAAATTAAATCTGCGATCTATTAAAACTAATTTGTAGAATAAAAGACAAAAGATTAAAGTAATTCAAAAAATAATTTAAAACTCGTAACTAAAAGTAAAAAAATAGACTTACTTAATGGTAACATTAAAAGTTACTTTAAAGAAACCTGCACGACGAAACAAATATCGTTAAAGAAATGATTAAATTATCCATCGAAATGAATAGCATATTACTTAACTTAGCTAAAAGGTAAGAAGGCTTGTATTTACAATATGGTTCAAGTATCACCAACGGCGATTGTTACGCGTGAAATTTTAAATTAACGCAGTTAAATAATTCATAAGATTAACCGACTCGGGGTGGCAAGTATTCGCGTTCTGGTTTCGAAGGCCCTTGAGGCGGGAATGGCGTTTCTCCTGGGGATGGTTTACCATCAGGAAAACCACCAGGTCTCGACGGACCTGACGGTCCACTGGGAAATGATGGCCCACCTGGTCTATATCCTGGTCCTCCCGGACCTCCGTGACCGCCTGGACCACCTGGACCACTTGGTCCTTGAGGTCCATTAGGTGCTAAGTATGCTGGACCACCTGGATATCCACCAGGTTTTCCATTTTGTCCGCCAGGCCCTCCTGGGCTACCTGGACGACTACCAGGATAACCTCCTGGTCCACCTGGCCCTCCTGGACCTCCAGGTCCACCGCCAGGGAAGCCGCCCGGACCGCTCGGACCACCTGGTCCACCTGGTTTACC